GTATCACTCCATGACTAAGTTTGTCAAAGCTTGTAGTACCAATTGTCTGAAAAAATTTATTAAAAATATTTACATATCACAAATAATTGCTGTCAAAGCTCTGCAACACCCTATATGTACCCGAATGCTTTCGGTTATACACATACACATGTACAATGATACATATGTATGTATGAAAATATGCTGACTATAAAATATGACTTAAGTGCAATTGCTGTTGTTGGAAACTACAACGTTTGCTATAGAGAGGCGCCGTGGTGCTGTTATGTACATACATATACACATACATACTATGTACTTATACAACTTTAACACAAAGTCGACGCACCAGTTTTGTTTGTATGTAAGTTGTTGGCTTTTGCTGTAGGCTGCTTAGTGGGTTGGTTAGCTGGCTTTTGGCTTGGGTGCTGCTTTAGAGTTGTACAGTACAAGCTCACAAATTAGAAATCTCAGCAATTAGAATGATCTAAAATTAGAAATTGAGATTATAATTTTCGAACGAGTTTTGTATTATTTTATATCTAAAAGATTGTTAAAGTCGGCGTACTGCCATGCCCACCAGCCTTACAAAAACCAATTTCTATTATTATCCGGTTGATAATATCTAGCATATTTGCTTTCTTATGCAGCGGGGATGAAAGTCATCAATCTACATACATTTGTATACTTCTTGAGACAAAAGTACTGCATATCAAAGTCTAGTAAAATAGCATCACATTACCTGCTATATTTTGAGGCAGCATATGGGAATCTAAGTTAGTGAAGGTGCAGTCTGTAGAATGTTTGTTTTATTAATATTGAGCCTATCGAGTAATTTTAAAGTACCTATACTCCCGAAAACGCACTGAAAAGTGCCTAATATCATACAAATGATCTCAACTCTGAAAGGACTAGGAAACATGTTATACCCCCCGCGACAAAAGATCACATAATACAAAAATTGTAAAAATCCCACAAACTTTTCATCCCAATTCCAAACATTTTAATTTTAATTTCTAGAATAATTTTTGGTATGCAGTTTTACAGCTTATCAAATTCTAGTATATGTAATAAAGTGCAAGCTTGAAGTTGCTAAAAAATCGCTTTGACTTTTGATATTTTTTTTCTCACGGTGTTATGCACTCTTTTCCAAAAAAAAAATTACTTTGTATGGAAGAAAATGCGTGATACCGTATTACAAAGTTTTAAATTTAGATTTATGTGGTATTTGTTAGATAAAGAGCTTTAGGTGTATGTATGGCAACCATTGTGTACTATTGAACGTGGAATAACAATTAGAGGAAAATCAAACAACATCAGATCATTAAACTCTCGTTGTTAAATCCGTGAAATGTGCATTCGAATTGTCACTTAAAAATACGATTCAAACAACATCGACTTCCTGCTTCCTTTTAATCCTACCCGTATAATTTTTCGCAGAAAAAATCATTAAAACGTGTTAGTAGACATTTTTAGAATCTTATCAACCATTTAAATTAAGCTTATGCTTTACATTTTTACATTTTGGTATTTAGGGCAGCATTAAGTGGAAGAGCCTTGTGAAAAATGTCGTCTAAATGTAAGCAAATACGCTTACTTTGCGGCAAAAGCTTGAAATCTTACATAAATAAAACAAATCGAAATTCAACCAACCAAACAAAAACAATGCTGCTCAATAACAAAAAACTGTAGAGATACTGTAAATTAAAATTGTTTTGCTTTATTTTTGCTTCAACAAATTCACCGGAAACAATTGAGTAGTCCACTTGCAAAGTGCGATATGTGACATTTTTTCGATTTTTAGTTTTTGGAGAATTGCGTACAAGTATTTATAGTAGTTTAGTGTATAGACTGTTAATGTTATCTTATGTCGTGTTATATTATGTTACAATTTTATAATTTTATCCAAATTTTCAGGTAATAATGAAAAAGATTCAATTTAAATGATACTTGTTGTCGTAGTCGTTTTTTTTCAAATTTATGGCTTTCTATTATAAAATCACATAACGCTGTTTGCAACTGGACTACTCAATTCGAAAATACGAACCATCTTAATTAAAAAGTGATTCTAATTTGTGAGCTGCTACTGTATTGTAGAGAACGAGCAGCAGCAATGCTGCGTTTTCTTCGCACTTTGAGAGTAAACAAAAGCTGTTGGATGAGGTATGTAAGTGAAAGAGGTAGGCTACGCAAGTACAATGGCAAAGTGGTAAACAGGAAAATATGTAGGAGTAGCTGTTACTGGCTTTGAATTGGGTGTAACTAAGTGAAAAATAAAAGCTTGTAAAAATTGTGTGATTCAATAGTTTCAATAAATTTCATGCCTAAGAGTTGAAATTATCAAATAATTTAAAATTAAAATAAGTGTTAAATATTAAGATTCAAAATAATCCGATTGAAAGTTTTTTATAACGAGCTAAGTTGGACTGAATTGCAGTACAATGGCATTTATATGTATTACGATCTGCTTTCTATAATCTTCTTACTTACTATATCCGAATACATATAATGAGGTATATACCTATGTATTTAGTTCCTATTGCACCGACATACATAGTACAATTGCAACAAAAACGTAGCATACAATCTCGCCATTTGCTCAATCAGTTACTTTACCTACACTAAGCATCGACGTGTTAAAGTTGAGGTCGAGGTTAACTTTTCATTCAAATTACTTTTTTCGTTTTTATTCGCTTGCATCGATGGAGCGCCGCAGGCTTTCGTTAATTAAGTGTCAAAATCAAAGGTGAAGCAGTGGAAAAAATATTACGCTAACGTAAAAGCGGGTACAGAAAAGGAAATATGTATTCAAATCAAAGGCGCATACAAAAATATGAAAAGTTCGAATAGCACAAAGACAACAATCATGAATAGGTCGTTTTGCAAACTCGTAACCAGGTTACCTGTCACTTTAGTGGAAAATTAATTGGATTATTTCTGTAATACGTATAGACATTTGAATTTTTTAAAGGCGCTGGAATAAATCCCTGCACAAATTGCGACTAATCCGGCATGACTTCGGAAACAACATCGATATATCGAAAATATCTACTCGGTGTATAAATAGTCGATGTTTTTTGAAAAGTGACATCTGCACTACTTTAAACCGCCATTCCTGTTTTTCGATTGTGCAAAAAAGATAAGTTTGACCAACAATTATTTTTAGAAAAAATTTTGATTGCAGGTTTGTTATCCATCTCAAGCAAACAGATTATGTTTCACAAATGATGTTATTCCTTCACTAATTTAGATTTTTTAAACCTCTCATAAGGGCTCATAAGGGTTTTAGTGTTTCATACAGTATCGTCGTTAGGACGCAAACCTAAAAAGGCTTATCCCGCGGTAATTGGCGTAAACACCGGGGTCCCCTTCTTGTAGATTGGGTAGATTACACTGAGATTCCAATTTTGGGGCATATATTCATCTTATTTTTATTTATGTTTTTTGTGGATGAAGGATAGCTTAGGAGGTTAGGTTAGGTTAGGCATGAACAAGTGACTCGTATTTCCACTCGGAGGGAGATTTGCCCATTGTTAATGCCCCCTGTGAGTGGCAGCAGGAGGCACATCCTTTTAACTGAGGTTAATCCATAATGCCAGTATAAAATCTGTCAAACCATTTACTATCCCGGTTGAAGCCATGGATGTTCGATATTTTCACCTCCGTTATACCTTCAAAGTTATTGAAAAAGCGGTATCTTAAATGCTTGTGACGCCTTGTCTGGAGAACTGGATATTGACATTAGAGGTGGTGAATCGATTCCCCTTCATTCCCATCCCGACAACTTTTGCAGAGGGAGAGTTGTTGGTATATGCCATCGAGCCGCTAAGAGCCCTAACTGCAGATTTGTTTAGTGCCAATAATTCCTCAGTACGAGCCTTATTGAATTTCAGCCACAAGGATCGTAAAATCTCATAGTCGCCCCCATTGACCCAAAGGTCTCTGGTTACTTCTGTGCTGTATTCTTAAATCCCCTTTAGCAGAAAAGAAATCGGTGACAGTAGAGAGGTTTACGCTTCGCTAATTTGCATTTCCAAGCCGTGTCTAGCCATCTAATCGGTTATTTCGTTCCCTTCTATATTGCTATGTCCAGGAACCCAGCAGAGAGAGCTTTTGACATTTCGGAACAGCTTTCGACTTTAACACACTGGAGCCTATTGTTTTCAATGCCGCCTGGCTGTCAATAAATATGGTGACGTTCCCAACCCGCTTTCTCTGTGGCAAATATCTTCGCCTGAAAGACACTGTAGTTATCAGGCAGGCGGTATTATTGCCTCCTTTGAAAGTCCTTGGAGTACAGACCCAATCCCACTCCATTTTCCATCGTAGAGCCATCGGTGTAGATGTAAATACCATCATTTACCGACAGGAGGCCATCTTCCGAATCTTCCCGGGTTGGAAATTGTATGGGAATCTTAAAACTAAAATCCCAGGATGACGTGATATATTGAGTTGCGACTTCTACGTCGGCCTTATTTCGTTATGCCGTCCAGTACTAATTACCTACAAGACCCGAGTAGATCGGCTTCCACAATTTTGACTCCCTCAGTCTAAGGGCCCCTTTTGCCGCAGCACCTGTTACGAATACTTGTGGTGGCTTGAGCTAAACGATCATATTCAGCACTTTTTGTGGTGCGCTTCTAGCGGCGCCTGATATACCAAGGCTGGCGAGTCTCTGCACTCCGTCGGATGACTGTGGTGTATATACCGCGAATAATATGCGGTGACAGCCACCAGTTTTTCTGTTTCTGGGGATGAAAGTTAAACAAATACCAGGTTTCAAAGAAATCCAGTCTCTTTTATAATTTTTTCGAGTTTTTGTGGAGACTCTAAACTGCTCGAACTCTCTAATTTCATACTCATAGTCATTTTTTTGCCTTAAATCAACCAGTTTTAACCTCCATTTCCTTTTAATGAATATTGTTGGGGTTTCGAATTCCATTAAATACGATGTTTGCAAAATATTGCATATTTTAATAAAAAAAAACTTCAGATATAAAAACATAATTTTTTCGACTTACCAATTGTAAAATCTTTAATGTGCTCCACATTCGCTAATCTTACATCGAAATTTCAATTCCAGAGAGCGCTAAAATGTGACGTTGAAGAACCTTTTTATATTTTCGCTGTTTTCGCAAACAAGTTATATTTTTTTGCTCTTGAGACGCGCTCGTAAAGCTTACTCGGTTTTAGAAATCGTTTACATTATTTCGTATTTTACTTTGCTGCCAGTAAAAGCAAGCTATCCTTGAATTTGAAAATTAATATTCGCGTTTATTTTATGCGAGACGTTGTTGCACACAAATACAAATGCGAATGCGCATATGTATGTGTAATAATGTAAACACACCCACAGTACACTTTCACACACCTACATATGTATACATTAAGAGCAGACGCGTTTTTGCGGTTTGCAAGTTTGCAGATTCAACGGAAGTGGGCGGACGGATGCGCGGATAGGGCGATAAATGTTAAAGGACCACAGAGGGCGTTGGCGGGGGTCAATAAAGGCGTAGGTAGACACGCGTAGTACTTTCCTACGCTCGTATATTTGCTGTTTTGTAATTTTTATAATCGATTATTTTAGCGAAAACGCTTTAACAAATATTTGTTGACTTTGTTTTCCGATTTCACAGTTACCGCACCCAATTTTATTTTTATTTTTAGATTTATTCCATTTTTTCAAAATGTAAACATCATAAAATCACTGAACTTCATTTGATTATTTTCATTTTCACATTCGCCATTTCTATTTCTTTATGCGACTTTATTCTTTTGTGATGCTTCACAAGCGTTAATGTTCACTAACACACATGTAACTATGTATGTATGTTTTTCGGTTTTTACTGCTATCCTGCTCACACAAGGACAAATGACCCACCGATTTAATGACTTCCAAGCGGAATTTACACACACACGGAGTTACATTTGTTTACATACACATACATATGTACATAATATAATGCCTATGTATGCACGTACATACATATATGTAGCAGCGTCGCTCTCACGGTTTCTGATTGTGCCGGGCACCATTGACAGGGCGTCAAACGCTAAACGACACAGCGAAGTACGGTAAATTAGGAGTCAACCGACGAAGTTGGCAGCAAAAAGGATGACGCAAACGTTGTAAAGGTGGTTGCAGGAAAATGAAAAAAGAAAATGCATTTACGTCTGCACTTGAATTTTTTCTTTGGTGTTCTTGTTGTTGTGCAAGCGCTGATAATTTGTTTGATTATGTGTGTGTTACACTGTGGGACGCTCAAAGAAAAGCAGTGATCAAGTAAAAACATATACATATATATTGTTTTATAAGAAGCTTTTCCTTCGATATTTTTTCCACACACAATTTCTCAATCACTTATACATACATACATACATATATGTATAGTATTATCTTGTAATTTTATTTATTTTTACACTGTAAAAGTTACTGAATTACATATTACTTCACTTAATTACATCCATACATACATAAGTATATATTACTTCACTTAGCGCTCAACCACTTTCTATACGACTTTTTCGTGCCTCGTTCGTTCACTCACTCGCAGTCTTGGCAAACGCTGCAGTTAATCGAACTGTAGCAAACGCAAACAAGCCAGCCGACTCAGTCACAATCGGTGACATCGCTGCTATCTGCCATCGTTCAGCTGTTCGTTTACCACTTCCGCACTTAGGTAATGCAAGTGCGTGTGAAAAGGATGACTAATATGCGGCAATAACCCTAACTTCACTTTTTACATTTTACTTTTGACGTTTGTAGTTCGTCTATTGTGAATATCTACGGCAGTGGCGCGTCACAGCTGTTCGCAATGGTAGATGATTGAGTGTGAGTGCGAGTGCGAGTGCGAGTGGGTGTGTGTGTTGTGCGTATGACAGCCAGAGTAAGTAAACGACGCTCTTATAAAAGTATCTGTAAGATAAAAATATGCACTTTCCCACGAGTTGCAACCAACACCAAAATTCTTTACCCACAGACTGACGTTTCACTTAGTTCGGCCAGGCAATATTTGCTTTCTTTTCACACTTCGCTCTTCAAATATATAGGAAATTGTTTTGCTGTGCATTCGATTTAATTACCAAAACTCAATTATATTCATTTTTTATTTACTGAATCCACACGTGCCTCGATCTACTCGCCGGGTACTTGCTACTCTCACGTCTATGACCGTTATGTTACTGTTTCGCTGCAATGGCCATCTGTTCCTAATTGCCCACTGTGCTGGCGAACTCATCCATATTTACAATACGTAAATACATATGTGCATTTCTGTGTATGCGCAGTGCATTCAGCTTTGTAGTACTATGGAGGAGCGAGACAGCTACAATTGTACTCCGTACAACGTTTTTTACTCGTTCACAGTTAATACTCCGAAACCGTGTTATAGGTCTGTGTCTTTGACTAGCAAAAACTTAAAGTTTGACAGACACTGGGAATGGTATTGATATGTACATATCGATGTGTATATACGTATGTACATATATCTGTTTATATATGGCAACCACGTTCTCAAGTTGTGGTTGTAAAATGGAATGAATGGAGTCTTTTAAATAAGTTTCTCACACAAAAGCAGAATCGTCGGTATTCCGTTTCCGTATTACTATTTAAAAGCACAAAATTACTGCCCAAAGCTTTCAAGTTTAGCCGAACTTTAGTTTACTGTTTACTTTAGCATAGCATAGCGCACATTAGACTGACCCGACAAAAATGAAAGTGCTTATTTTTGTGAGATTATAGCTTCCATTATGGCTAAAAACCATTCCCTGAAACTTTGGTGCAAAATTAATAATCCTAGTATCGCCCAGTTGCCGAAATTTATATGAATTTAAAATCAAAAAAGCTTTTGACGCCTTAGCCGAGTAGGTAGAGATGTCGACTGTAATTCCGTGTGTCGCAGGTTCAAATGCCGGCACATGGAGTATCTAATTGTTAGTGACAAACTTATTAATATACAAAACTTATACATTTCACATGAAATTTCAATTTGTCAACAGCATTTTCAATCTTGATAATTTATCAAGAAAAGAGCTTTTGAATTCTGTGCTAGAATACCAATTCTTGATAAATAATAAAAAATTTACAAATTATAGAGATTTTCAATTTATCAAAATCACAGAATCGGGCTGTAAAAAAAGTAAAAATAACCACTCAACTCGTATACCCGTAGTTGCGTATGTAACGTATACGCCTCGTAGAATCACAAGCAATCGACTTACACGTTTATTCGCACGCCTTAACTTAAAGGTAATATTTTTTAAAGTAGTGTGGGGGATTTTTAAACAGTATTATGCATACGTACATATGCATGTATATGAGACATTCTTTTTCATATCGGACATCAAATTTGGTGTCACACTTTCGATTGGCTTCAAATTTTTTTATGGGTTCTATACAAGAAATAAGCTAAAACGTGTTCGAGGATTTTTTTCGCTTTTTTCTTCGGAGGTATGATCTGTCAAAGTTTGCATTTTTTCGTGATTTTGACTAATCATGTAGTTCTTCAAATCGTTATATCTTGGGTTCTGCACATCGTAGAGATTCATCTTAACGTCGTTTTAAAGCTAAGGAAATGGGCCTAACATCTCTATTTATAAGGTGGTCAAGATTATCCTAAAGCTAACTTAGCTATTAACTGTTGAACTTTTTGAAGTTGATTTGCATAGTGAAGATCGGTGAATTAGGGATTTAAAATTATACCATCGTAATCCTTGTTTAATTCTCTATAAAAAACGTGGTTAAAAAATGGGGGTTTTTCCAAAACTATTTTTAAAATATTTTTCTTTATGACGAGATGGTTTATTTTGTGAGAATAAACAATTTTTTGTAAAATGTTTTCCAAACCACATTGCGAGATGTATTTATTAGTAAGGTGTTAAATATCGAGTTTTTGCAAGGATTTAAATTTTATTGCAGATTCCAATAGAAAATCTATCCAGCTATAATATTTGTACGGCAAAATTTTTCTTTAAGGCGACAAACCCCCAAAAATGGGTATGGCAATTTTAGGACTAAACTTTGCAAAACACAGATTCGTTAACAGCATTTGTTCCACAACTTTTTCCATCAAAGAATATTCTAGAAATGAGCGTGGTTACGTTATAACCAAAGTTCAAAAATTTAGACTTTAATGTGGATTTCGCCAGAACAACTATATGGATTGAAAAAGTTGTGGAACAAATATTATTACCGAAGCAATATTCTGGCGAAATCCGCAATAAAATCTGCCTTTTGCTAATTTTAGTCCTGCAATTGCCACGCCCATTTCTAGGGGTTTGTCGCCTTAAAGAAATTATATCTGGATAGGTATTCTATCGGAATTCGCAATAAAATTTTACTTTTTGCAAAAACCCGATGTTTAACACGTTACCAATTACCAAATTACAAAAAATTTTGGATTCTCACAAAATAAACCATCGCGTCATAAAGAAAAATATTTAAAAAATAGTTCTTGAAAACCCCCCCTTTTCCAACCATGTGTTTTATAGAGAATTAAACAAGGATTACGATGGTATAATTTTCAATCCCTAATTTACTGGTCTTCACTATGCACATCATGCAAATATTTTCGAAAAATTTTTTATATGGAGAAAATGAGTAAATGAAAATATACATACAGTTAGGAACATAAATGATTTCAAAGCGATTTTTGTTAAATATTTGCAAGGTTTTTAAAGTTTGTTATTTTTTCATAAAAATATCATGCATGCTTCAGCCAAAACCATATAAATCCAACTTTCAAACTTTATATAGAGCTTAGCAAAATTAAACGAATTTTTATCAATTTGAATTTTGAGTAAATGAAAACGCAATGCAAATTTTTCTTGCATTCATCAAATAACGGAATAAAAAAGTGATGATAAAAGATTTCCAGTAGTATCGCGATAGTGAACACCATTCATCGATAGTGGTCACAAATTGACACTATCGGTTGCGCCATCGATAGTTTTGCAGCTCTATGCGTAATTAACTTGAAAATTCCGTGTTTCGCACATGGACAATTATATGTCGCGTGTTTACGCGTAGGAAGGCCAACATTTTTGTATATTTACTTACGCATCGGAATACAAAACAAAAAATGTCGTTTATCACAAAGCTTTACATTGAATAATTGTATTTAACGTCCATGAACATATGACGTACAAAAATAAAAAAGGGATTTAATTAATTTGACTTACAAGCAAGTTTCATTTAATAATTCACAGAAGTCAAATTTTAGACAATGGCCATGTTCAGAAGGCGCAACAGCTCAGTAACTGTTGCGATTACACCTTCTGAACGCGTCGTGGTGTACTTCTGATCAACTGAACAGTGGAGTGTTAGATAATAGTAATATATTTATGATCATTTAAGACAACATCTTGGCGTGTACCTTTGAGAGTTGAGCTTGACAGCTAATGTATCAAGCCGTCCGGAAGACGCATTGCGGTCACTGTTTTATTTTAGCAACTGTTGCGCTCAACTGCTACGCCTTCTGAACCTACCCAATGCAGACGGACTTTGAAGCAAAAGTTATAATCAAATAAATTGTAGGTGATACGAAGTTCGCGTGGTCATCTTCTAGTATTTAATAAAATTAAAAAAATATAAGTGAGAGTAAAAGGAGAACATATGCAGAAGTGTACGGGAACGCAAAACTCACACTGATTTGGCTAAATGATCACTTAACAATTGCGTACATATTTAAATATTTCGTTGTTTACATCCACTTTTTAACAAATGTAAGGGTCTTTGCATTCACCGCGTTCTGTTTTTGTTTACAAATGCAACCCTGCCTTTCGCTTGGCACTTTTAATGACGATTTTTCTAAATCCTGTAACTTCTGAATTGAAAGAGTTGCTCAGTTACTGTCTCATATGTGTTACAGGTCTATAGGAACGACTTCCTGTAAGTTCTGACTAAATCGTGTAAACCGGAAACAGATTATCTATGTGTGTTGATATTTTTGCCCCAAGCTTATGGAAGGAAATGGTTTCTAGCCATAATGGAAACTAAAAAGTCATGTGCCCCATAAAAGCGTGAGTGAATCTGTATATATCTTGGGTCTATCAACGCGACACTTCTTTGTTCTTTACTGCCTACACTTTGTCCGTCTATTTTATTCCATAAAATATAAAACCACATACATAATATATTTGTACATATGTTTCTGTGTAGGTGTGGCGGACATAATTCAAATTGTGACATATCTAATTCCCATTACATACATATGTACATTAGAGTGGTCCAAAAATTTTTTTCCGAGATAGGGTTTGGTGCACCTTTTAAAATTTTTCCTTTTACCAAAAGAGGTGCTGGTACCAAACTTTACACATTTCCAAGTATAAATTTAGAGGTTGCTCATGATGCTCATATTTGACTTTAGAAGTATTGTGTACATGTAGTAATCAAACAATTGGTTAGGTAACCTAAGAACATTTCAAATTTAAATTATCTATTAAAATATCACAAGCTTCAGTTGTCATGTATATTAGCTTTTTATAAAAAATCACCAATATTTGTGCCAGTTTCATGGCGATCTCGTAGCGCATTTCTAGGTCATTAAGCACCCTGTATTGGTTACAGTCAGTAGAAAACTGAAAGTTGGTATAGATATTACAAAAATTGAAAGGAAAAAACATAGGGAGCGCCCCGTTATCTAGGATGAAATTTTTTTTCCCATACAAAAATTGAACCACTCTAATGTACATACATATGTATTTATATTCATGTTTTGTTTATACATGGTGTTTGGTCTATCGGACCAACCAACCAACAGGGACGTCAACCGCTCAACGCCCAATCTTTTTAAAATTAATCTATTGCTATTTGCCACTTTACCATCCAGCGCGTCTACAAGCGGCAGCATTATTTTGCTAACAAATGCTCCTCAAAGTAAGGTAAGCTATGCCACCTTGTTATTAAATAATTTTTAACTCTTACCTATTGAAATTTCCAAAAAATTCCCACTTCCTTTTGGACGTTTCGGCGGCACATGAGGATAGTTTGTGCTTACATATCGGACAATGCTGCTGACTTGTACTCGCATGGTCAGGCAGCTTGCTCGCTAAACCTATGTTAACCCCTTAGCACACAAATCCTTCATAGATTTGTTACTTTGTTTTCAATCAGCCAGAGTTGCATGTCTAACCGCCATTACGGCAATTTTGCACGACAAAACGAACGAGCCGTACATATGTACATACAC